CAACGTAAAAACGGGCTAAAGTGAACAAAAGATCTACAGATTTGGCAGATGTCATGTATGTACTAAACGACTATGTGGTCCCCAAAATAGCATTTTTGGGGTTTACATGCCCTTTAAAGCAATACTTGACAAAAATCTTGATAGGTAGAAAGTTCGGGCGCATGGAATAATGAAATATATAATTTATGGAAAAATCACACAGTTCTAAACGGCATCGGCTCAAAAAGCTCCTCGAATCGTTGTTTTTGAGGTGTATAATTCGCATCTTGTGCACTCTTTTATTTATTTTTTTATTTTTTTATTTAATTATTTTTTCTTTTAGTTACATTCTTTTTTCCTCCCAAACAATTTTTTCTTAGTTTTTAACTTAAAGAGGAGAATCCATACACTAAAATTATGCAATAGAAAATATAGGTCACCATGCTCTTTTATGAAAAAAACGAGCATTTATCCGCTGTCGAACTTAGCTTGAGGGAAATCTCTTACGTTGTGAGCGTGCACGCGTTCATGTGCGCGAACTAATGACGCGAAAACAGTGAGCAGTAGGTATGTGCAATGCTGAGGAATCACCTTGACGCAATATTTCTCAGGGAGAATTCATTTATTCACATATTGCGCACGGGCGACAATAAAATAAAATGGATAAAAGTTTTTCAAAATTAAACCGTGGCGTTGGGAGAAGTATTAGTTTTGTGCTGCATGTTTTATTTTGATTTAATACAGTCAACATTGTTCTTTTTTTCCAATATCTGAAGACTTTGATGATGCGGAAAGCTAACCTTTCATTTAATATTCTTGTTTTTTTCCCATTTACAAATTACACTGCATGTTTGAGATCTTATCTTAATAACATACTTATTGAAACATTTTTTTTTCTCTTTGGATGACCTGACTTTGGTTTCAATTTTTGCCTTTGTAGAATTATTTTTCCGAAATGCACTTTTAAATTAGTGTTTGTAGGTTTCCAAGTAGTCAACTGTTGAACTAAGTCATAAGAGGAACTGAACAAAAAGTAATTATGTATAATGTAAATAAATATATGTAAAAATCTTTTAAAATTGTCGATGATAACAAGATTTCAAGACCACTTTTTGGTACAAAATACCTGATAAGGTAAATTATACCTAGCTAAGTTAGGAATGGAATTTTGGAATCATTCATGTTTAAGTTTTGGAAATTCTTGATGAACTATGTACAATTTGAGATTAACAAAACATCATGAGCTATTTTTACAGGTAATAAGAACTTCATATCTTGCTATCAACCACCTGTCGTAATCCTGAACGACCTGTTTTGTCCTGGGGCAATTTCTCGGGTATTAATTTGTGGTGAAACCCTGCTTTGGGGTCATTGCTTTTATCAGATTATAGATAATGATTTTATATTGCTTCATCGAAAGCCATCATGACACAAAATGTTGAAGAATACGTTGATTGAAGAGTTAATTGTTGTAGAATTGTGCACAGTTTTAGACCTATTCTCTGTGCCAGATTTCATTTGCAACATGCCTGGGACTCTATGAGTGCTGCAACTTGTTAAGGAAATAAGAGCTTCATGTTCACGTTTTTATCTGCCCACAAGAAAACACGACGGCAATTTGCACAACAAAAAGTTGGTTGTCGCATTTCGGTAATTTACTTTTGCGTGAAACTTCCGGAATGAAGCTTCCAGAGAAACGTATTAGGACTGGACTAAAGTACTCAAACTAATAAAACTAACAGATTTTTGCTTTAGATTTAATTACACGTACAACCTACAAGGTTAAACACAATAAAATGCCTTAATGCAGGGCTAAATAGGAGCATTTTCGTACATCCTAAAAATAAATTCAAGGGATGGTGGAACCGCTTTCTCACCATAGAAGCCTACAATGTATACTCTTCTGGACGAGATTTTAGGCTCTCACACGGAAGTCTTTTCTAAGTAATAATGGGTGTGAGATTTCAAAAAGTCGGCTTTGGCTAGAGTAGTAATAATTCCTTTAGGTCATTTAGGAGTGACGTGATGCTCTCTCATGACCATTGTTGAAACACTAAGTATGTTTATGATTATATTTAAGCTGAGAGGAAACCAGCTAAAATCATCGTAGTGTTGGGAGGGAAACCGTAACGACTACCACATGCACCGGCCTTCGAATCTGTAATAAATCAACAGAGTTGCACTACTTGTACGTGTAATGAAGTCTAATTAGCGAATCCCACAACCATGCAGTATTTATTGAAGATCTTAGGGGATATTTAAATTCTGTCTATTCAATAACAAATTGTTTCTTCAATCACAGGGTAAATTAATTCTTCAGTCATCCCAGGAAAACGATTTGCTATACCTGTTCGAGTCCGCAAAGTACGCAAGAACAAGAAACATGGACACCTCCACTCACGTCAGTTCCAATGGAAGTCCGTCTTGCCCGAGCGGTGTTTCTGTGTTCTTCACAACAGCCATGGCTGTGATAAGCTTAGCAGCGTTTATTGGAAACATTCTGGTTATTGCTGCGGTGTACAAAACGCCAAGCCTCAAAACAAGCGCCAATTACTACTATGTGAACATGGCGGTCTCAGACTTTCTTTCCAGCCTTACCACCTGGCCTCTGTACCTTACTAACGAGATTATAACAAGCCGGGGAAGTCTCATACAAGGTCCTCTGGCAACTGTTGGATGCAAAGTGGGAGTATTTTTCAGAGTGGTATCCATTACGGTCTCCATACTAAGCCTGGTGTTGATCGCTGTCGACAGATTCGTGGCTATTTTATTTCCATTGAAAGCCACGCTCATTACACGAAAAATGAGGGCTGCTCTACTGCTCACAACGTGGTTTGTGTCGATAGCTTATTGCATTCCCATGGGCTACTATTTCAGAGCGGAAAAAGTTGGTCAAGAAACATACTGCAAATTTGCGTGGAATGACTCTGCACTCATGATTTACTACATTACGGGCCTGGTCTTGTTCCAGCTATTACCATTACTTGCAATCATCATTCTTTATTCCCGTATCATGAGTGCATTGAGGCAGAGGTCAAACGCAGAATACACTGCTAGGTGCGGATGTAATAACCAACAAAACAGATGTAAGCAGACCCAAAACTTCATGAAGATATTCAGGTCAATCGTTGTTGTGTTGTTCACCTGGTTTTCTCTTTTTACCCTGTATTTGATTCTGAAAATCATTTCCCCTGCACTTTTTATCAACGACCGGTGCAAGTGGATTTTAGGTTTTACCTATTTTTTGATTCCATCTCTTGGCATAGCAATCAATCCGGTAATTTTATTCACATATAGCACTAATTTTCGCCAAGCTCTGCCTAGGCTGTTGCCGTTTTCTTTCAGACAATCCCGTTCAAGTTGCACAGTGACAGCCACGTCACGGCGGCCAAAACTTATCCAACTACATTTTAGAGAAATTTAAACAGAGGTCGGGTTAAATATGAGGTTATTTTATTAAGGTCAAGTTGCTGGCATACTGTTGTCAGGTGAGTTGAGAAATCATGGAAATCAAGATAGCTCTATCGCTCCCGTTCAAGAAAACTAAGGATATGTGCGCTTTATAAATACGATTATTATTATTAATATTTATTCAGATAGCCAATCGCAGCGAAGATTAGCTTCATCTCAGCCTGCGCGCAAAGCTTGTCATTAAACAGTCAGCATCTGGTTAAAAACTGGATCATTGAATAATCCAATTCAAGAGTTTTCATTGGCAGAGCCATCATGGTATATGAGCTTTTATAGCATGCTCTACAAATATGGTAAGCGTACGCGTAAATTTTGGGGGCGTTTTTATTTTTATTTATTTTAGATTTGGCGCTTTTAATAAAATAGTTATTCCACTCCCGCTTGTTGGATATGAGATGACTATGGCTAACTCGGCGCTAGGCGCTGGGCGCGCTGTGATTGGTCAATCTAGTGGTTCGTATTCTTCTCTGTTACCCGCTTAAAGTTAAGTGTTTTTGTTAACACAATGTCTCGTGACTTATCGCCAAGTGTTCTTAACTTTCATGGCAAGTAAAGGTTTAAAACTTTCGTTTTCTTTAAACTGTGTATTTAAACTTGCTAATGACCTGGGAAAGTCTTGTAAAATCTAAGATGATGTTGTATTTAGGTCATGATGTGATTTAAGCAAGACTGGCAGTGAGGAATTCTTTAATCAAGCCAGCATCAACTACAAAATAATACTTTAGTTGTGTATTAAACTGGTGAAGTTGTTTTCAGCGCGTTCGGCAAGTTAAAGTCAGTGCTACACGCCTGAGATCATCGTATTATTCTAAACAGACTCGACAGCTATGCATAATGGTGGTATGATTATAAAACTAAATAATAATATACAATCATAGTACTATTAATAATTATGATTCTATGATCCCCTTAAATATTAATATGCAACGTAATCTCTGACGACCGCCTCAGAATGAAGTCCATTGCGAGTCTGGTTCAGTGGCTTGTCACCAAAGAAGGACTGATAACAACTTGTAGAGTGGTCCAGTATGGAAAAACGTTTACTCAAATATAAATAAAAGTAATAATAGCAGTTCATTAATTACACTGTTTGGTTACTTTACAAATAAACTTTTATCAAAGGTATTGAATTTTGTGTAGCGATAGCGGGAGCAGTCTGAATTGACGCATCTTGAATAGAAAGGGCAATTTTTAAAGTCTCTCGATCGTAAGGCCGTTTTAATTTTCCTCAGCCATTTTTGTCCGTGATAATTTTGGGTTAATTGTCATCTTGCTGGTGTTTCGTACATTGCAAACCCTATTTTCCTATCTTCTCTGGCAAGCTCCTTGCAAGCTAAAAGTCTTGGCTCTCTTTAAAAGGAGCGGCCTGCGCAGCTAGAAAAATCTCACAGAAAGAAAAAAAAGCAGTCAAAAAAAACTGTTCATCATAGGAAACTCTTCCCCCCTCAATAAGCAGGCTTAATCGAAGATTGTTAAAAAATATGGAGTAGCTGCAATCAGGATATGACATGGTCGAAAGGAGAGGGGGAGAGAAGAAGAGAAGAAAAAATAACAATAACTAATTAAGACCTTCATAAAAACTGGCGAAACATGGCTGTACAACCAGAGTAGTAGTTGTTTTACAAAGTCCGTCAGATGATAGTGCTGCATGTTGAGAGAAAAGTTCAGAAACGTAAAATTGCAAGTAAATTCCAACTTTTTCAGCAATTAAAATTATCTTCCTACATTTCAGTATCATGTGCGTTACAAGACTGCAAAACACAATTAAATCAGACAGGGCTGACAGTGAGGGCCACAGCCGGTTTCTATATGTTTGAACATTGATTAAAATTAATTTCAAGACTCTAAAACTTATTTTTGCATGATTTGTCTTTGATAATGATAGTAAATGACGTCCAGTAACATTTTATTTTAAATAATGCACAGAGTGGTCATTTTCACATTTTCCTTCTTTTTAGTTCTTTTCAGTCTTTAAGTCAAAATTTCAACCAACTCTTAGCGAAACACCCACTCACCCCAATCATTTTATCAGATTTCTGCAACAATTTAATTTACAACTGTGAAGTAAAGTCTACTATGTTTATTATGCAATTACAAAAGGAAAATGATGCCACTTGAAACACTTGATCTGGATTCTAGCATTTCAAGTTTCAAGCTCCACCCTCGCCAGTTTAGACCTTGTGTTATTGTAGTCCATTGTATTTGGACTTTAAAGTTGTTCTTTTTAGAGGATTACATTGTTAATGCAAATCATGGCAGTCTTAAAAGGAAGTTCAAAAATAGTTATGTGACCCCTTTCAGGCGTGTATTGAGTTTCCTGTGCTAGGAGGCTCAAACAACAAGACAGACATGTTTCCACCTCTGCTGTGGACTCCTGATATGAGAGCACAGTACTGTCAGGAAAAATGGGGGCGTGAGTCAACTACCAGGCTGGCTAGTGACTCAGCTCTGGGGAAAAGGTTATTTATTTTATTTATTCATTTATTTATTTATTTATTTATTTATTTATTTTAAAGATTTGCCATGAGGCAGGTGGGCATACAAACAACACCAGGTCTCCTACTAGGTAAACCCACGACCTAACCATTCCCCTAGAAAATTGGTAACACATTCCCTAGAACCCCCAATATAAAAAATAATGAGAACCAAAAGGAAATAAATTTTTGAGAAAAAAAAAGGTTAAGAAGAACAACGTGTGAGAGTATTGGCACAAGGCAATCAGGACAGACTAACTTGTAAGAACGAATGTAATCTTGATTGAACACCAAACTTACTCTATTATAAAAAGGTTTGTTTGGAAATTAAAATGATCGTGGGTGTAAATTAAGAATAAATTGTAGAGTGAACAAATAGTTTCTTGCATTTAGCAAATGCAGCACTCTTGCTTGGGTGCACATGTATTGTATGTTTAGTACATGTAGATAGCAGTAGAGTGATGCTTAGCTCCTGCACTCCTGACATCTCATGCTAATTCTCCTTGCTTGTTTTTAGACATTATTTTCTTGGAGGAAGTTGATTATGATGATCAGTTTCTGTTTTCTCACGAGTTGTAAGCCTGACGGTATATTGATGTTTTGTGGAGAAATCATATGTTGACCACTTGGATTAAGTGTTTAGGAGAGAAATTGTCACCTGGTTTTTGAGTTCCTTTGCTCGGCTGGGCATTCTCATTCTACAAGACACCAAAAGACACAATCAGAAGCAATGTGTTATGTTTCAACCAATCAGAGCTGAGGACTACATGGACTAAGTGAACAAGGGTGGCAAGGAAAGTTGTAGTTGTCGTGAAAGTTGTTGTGCCTTCAACTATCCCCGGGGGGGGGGGGAACTCCCGTGTAAAAAAAGAAACAGGGATATTATTGGGTGTAAATCACGGATTTTGGTCTCGCTAAGGGTGTTCAGGACAAGACATCACTTTTTTTTAGCTGTCAAGGTATCTCTTCCAAGGTTGCACTTGAAGAAATAATAAAAACATTCTTTCGTCCATTTGAAAGTGGTTTCTAATATTGATTAGTAGAATTCTACTAGTATACTTATACAAATGCTGTAATCTGATTGGCTGAGCTATTAAACACTATCAGGCATTAGTGTGCTGTGGCTGGAGGTCGTCTTGGAAATGGCGACGTTTTTTTTCGTTTTTCCAAAGTTTTGGAGGAAAATTTTGATGCAAATGGATAATTAAATTTCTGAGACGTCTAAACGAAGGACATTTACGGTTTCTTGACTTTAAAAACGGTTGAAATTATTGAAAAAGGCGATGCACGCGCACACACAATTTCGATTTTAAATGGCAATTCAATCCGAGCGATCTTTTACAGGCGCAAAGTTTAATAATACGTCAAGAAATAATTGGAAACCGTTATTTGAAGTAAATTTTAGTAAGAATTCTACTAAAACAATTAGATTATTCGCTCTCGATTTCTATGAGGTGATAGTTTATTCCGCCTTCGGGCTCATCAACTATCACCTCATAGAAATCTCGAGTTCATGACCTAATTGTTAAATAGGGGTCAAATAAACCAAGAACCACACCTAGATTGATCTCTTTTTTGACGAGTATCACCAAACCTTTTCACGTGAAAGTTCCCTCCCCAGACAACTATCATTTATTGAATTACAAGAGCTCCTATACAACATGATATATCTTTTAGCACACTGGTATCATCAGAATCGTAGCTGATACAGGAGGGAACTGGTTTCTGTGTTGGAGCGCCCGTCATTTTTTTTGATACCCTCTCAACCCCCGGTTCTTATTTGAACCTACAGTTAATCTATTACTTGTTTTACTCCTTCCTTGCAGACATATCTTCAGCTTCAAATATTATTTTCTCCAATGGTGACTTGGATCCATGGAGACCAGGAGGGGTATGGTTTTATCCTCCTTAGACTAGTATTGTGTTTTTCATCATCGATATTTCGCTCCTGTGCTGTTGAAACTTCCAGGTGTGTTGGCTATCAAAGATTGATCCAACTTATACCTCTTGGTCTCAGGTACTGCAAGATATCTCCCCAACGCTAGTAGCCGTTCTGGTCAAGGGTGGTGCCCATCATCTTGATCTCAGGTGCATTTTAAGTTTTTTAATTATTATTTTAGAATGTAGTAGTCATGCAATGATTCATTCAGTGCTTGACAACATAAAGAGTGCTATTAATATAAAAACAAAAGTAAAACATTCCAAAACGTTGCGTGAGTTGAAAGATAAGATCCATGTGTTGCCATCACCCCAGAAGCTAACTGCTTTTTGAGGGCTATTATTATCATTAGATGTGGAACAAATGGAGCTAAAAGTCGGCTGCTAAAGGCACCATTTTGGAAAAGCCATATTGAACACTTAGATAGAATATGTCACAGGACGTATTAGAAGTGCTGAAGCAGAAGGTCATTTTGTAGACCTCTTTGACCCCGGGGGAAGGAGGAGGGGGGACTCCCATATAAAAATAACATTTTTTTTCACCCCTAAGAGTTAACAATTCTTAAACAACACCATATCTTCTGTCATATTTTTTTTGGCTCAGTACTCTAAAAGGTACCGCAAAAGCTCCTGCCGTGGACCTTTTAAGGCCCAACACCCTAAGGGGTACCAAGACCGCTTTTTTTAAAGGTACGACGAGCACCCCCGTCCTTTTTATAAGGGGGCCCCCGCGGGCTTTGACCTCTGATAAGGTTTTGGTACACCGTATAAGATTTTCGACCCTATGTGCATGCTGTTTAGCATATGAATTTTGCACACGATATCAATACTAAGGTA